GCCCATGTGCCATAACTAGAGAAGCCTGTGCACCACAAAGAAGACCCAGTGCAGGGAAAAAAAAAAAAGCATTAAGGGAAGATAATTGAAGGGTATACAGAAACCATCTGAACTATTTTTTCAACTTTGTTTTAAGTCTAAGATTATTTCAAAATAAAAAACTAAAAAAATCAAGAACATATATTATCATGTTTTGTTTTGTTTTTTTAAATGCAAAGGGGACTTTCCTGGCGGCTTGGACAGTAAAGAATCTGCCTGCAATGCAAGAAACCCAGGTGTGATCCCAGGGTCAGGAAGATCCCCTGGAGGGCACAGCAACCCACTCCAGTGTTCTTGCCTAGATAATCCCACGAACAGAGGAGACTGGCAGGTCCCTGGTCCATGGGGTTGCAAAGTGTTGGATGTGACTGAACAACTAACACTTTAATTCACAGAAAATACATGTGTTTATCTATGTACATGTATATTTAATCTGTATTTCTTAAGAAAATAAAGAGTGTAAGAATTTATATTTGTTGTTCAGTTGCTAAGTTGTGTCCAACTCTTTGCAACCTCATGAACTGCAGCATACCAGGCTTCCCTATCTTTCAGTATCTCCCAGAGTTTGCTCAAACTCACGTCCATTGTGCCAGTGATGCCATCCAACCATGTCATCCTCTGTTGTCCCCTTCTCCTCTTGCCCTCAAACTTTCCCAGCATCAGAATCTTTTCTAATGAGATAGCTCTTTGCATCAGATGGCCAAAGTATTGGAGCTTCGGCCAAAGTATTGGAACTTCAACCTAAGCATCGGTCCTTCCAGTGAATATTCAGGGTTGATTTCCTTTAGGATTGACTAGTTTGATCTCCTTGCTGTCCAAGAGACTCTCAAGAGTCTTCTCCAGCACCACAGTTCAAAAGCATAAATTAATTAATAATTTGGAAACAATCCATTGTTCCATATCCAGTTTCTAACTGTTGCTTCTTGTCCTGCATATAGGTTTCTCAGGAGGCAGGTAAGGCGGTCTGATATTCCCATCTCTTTAAGAATTTTCCAGTTTGTTGTGATCCACACAGTCAAAGGCTTTAGCATAGTCAATGAAACAGCAGTAGATGTTTTTTGGAATTCCCTTGCTTTTTCTATGAATATTATTTTTATAGAACAAATATCCTCATCAAAGAGAATGTGATAAGAAGACATATAGTTAGGAAAAATCACAACTATTAAAGATCTACTATATATTGTCAAGGACAAATGTTCGATATTTAATATTTATTTAACTTTCACAAACATCCTTCAAAGTAATTTTTCTCCCCAGTGATAGTAAATGAAGCTTTCTAGTTTTTAAGCCTGCATTGTTTCTGATCTGGAGTTTGAGCTATTCTGTCTCCAAAGGCTATTCTCCTTCCCCTTTATTCAAAATTATTTCCCAGATATAATTCAATTTTTTTATTGTTTAGGGGAAATGTTGACTAGTTCAAAATATTTGGAATATAAAGTAAACAGAATCCCTTTTAGAAAGAGCTGGAAATGTAAATTTGTCCAGAAGTAGCATCAATATTTAAAAATAAGTGTATATTTCCCTAGACAATGAGTCCCTTCAGGACTTGAAGTACTGGCAGTATAACATTCATATTTTAGAAAGATTCCTTTTTTAGCAAAGAGAAATACATTAAGTTCCCTATATACAAACAAGTTCCATCCCAGGAGCATATTCGTGAGCCCAACAAAGTAATCCTAGGTACCAGCTAACACAATCAGCTATGTAGTACTGTACTATACTGTATAGGTTTATAATACTTTTCACACAAATAATACATAAAAACAAACCAACACTAAAAATAAACATTTTTACTCTTACAGTATAGGACCTTGAAATGTACAGTACAGTACAATAGCTGGCATACAGGGGCTGGCATCAGTGAACAGGCAAGAAGAATTACTGACTGGAGAAAGGAGAGGAGGTGGGAGATGGCAGAGCTGAAGGATCATCAGCGATAGGAGTCGGAGGGCAAGCTGGAAGTTCCCTTAAGCTTGACATTAATAGCACAGGCTCTGATTCCTTGTGGTCATGTGCTTAAAAAACTAACAGTGCCTCCTCAAGTAAAGAAAATTCCTTTGCCATTTCCTGCATCCTGAATCTCTTTGGTTCTTACAAGAAACATCTCTTGTAATCACTGTAATGCTTGGATTGTATTATTTTATTTCACAGAAAATAACTTTCTGTAGCTATATTATTTCCATCAGTTACAAGTTTAAATGTATTTGTAATCGGTTAGGGTTAGTGATGGGCCAGGTGTGACTAAAATGACTAAGAATGAGGTGGCAAAAAAATTTAAAGATTGCTTCAAAAGTTTCTTCTATGGCTAACAATTCTACATCCTTCATTAAGTGCTCCATGAGGATCTCATCTTCGTTTCTCAGAAGGACTTATTATCTCGGAAAGGAAATTCTTGAGAGCATCAAATTCTCCAGGTATTTCTCCCTACTTTTCATGAGAAAACATTAGGTTGAGATGATATACAAGCTAGCAACTTAGTGTAAGTAAAAGAAGCAATTCTCAGGGGAATGGGTCACCCCACTGCGTCAAGAAATTTGCTGGAATACAGAATTAATATTGATTCGCTTTGATTGCTCATCTATGTATTTCAGTGTTTGCTGACAGAAAACAATCATTGCATGCCATTTGTTTATAAATTAAAGGAGATGATAATACCATCACTGTTTCTAGCTAGTACATTCCATCTCTACCAATATAAGTAGTGGTATTAAGTTTATACTATATGACATTAATATTTGTATGTTTAAAACATAGTATTTGACCTGATAATGATCATATATGTTCTGTTTTTATTTGAGAAAAATCTATAGAAATGGTTACTGAAGTCAGTCGGCCATAGGATATTAATAATATTGGTTATCAAAATCTAACAATATTTTCAAAGTATAAAGCACATTTATACATAGTATCTCATGTATACCAGCTGTAATCTCTGGCTGTTGAGGTGAAGCATGAGATTCATCTCCCTTAGAAGTTTTTGAAAGCTAAATATAGAAAACATTTTTGAGATGCAGTAGTTTCCATATTGTTCACCTTATGATTGTAACAGATAGTTTGTGCATTAATTTTGAATGTCAAAATTAATCTCTTTTTCAAGTTAAGCTTTATTATTATGGACCTTAAATTTGCATAGAAAATTAATCTTCAACAAAATTTTCAAGGGCTATGAATAGTACTTCTCTGCACTACATGCTCTAAAAATGCAATATAGATCCTTATGCATCTTTTCATTGATTCTAGGTTCTGTTCTGAATTATGAGGTGACCAAGTTCCATGCCTTAATGCTTACTAACTACTGGTCTTGATGAAACCAGGAGGGGAAGAGTTGGTGCTCTCTCTCTTTCTCTCTCTAGGATGAATCTGTAATGTGTGTGTGTGTATGTGTGTGTGTATGTGTTAGTAAAAATGATATTTCCTCTGAGACCATATACTCTCCCATGGCTTGTTAGAGATAATTAGCTCAGGGAATTTTGAAAGGAAAGTTTTACTCCATAAGGTGAGGCAGAAAAGGAAGAATCGAATCTGATATCAACTTTGAAACCAATATAAATTCTTCTTTTTCAAAGGTGAACCCTCCGTTCTTCAAGTGTTTCCTGTACAGAGCGTACATCAGAGTTAACCCTGGCTTGCTCCTTCTCTGACTCCTTATCTGAGTGGGAGGGGGCATGTGGATATTTGGGAGCTTCAGGTGGTATAACTATTGTGTACTTATCAATATTCTCTCTTCATTCAGATTTGCCTCTGCTGGGTACTGTTGCCTTCTTGCTGTCTCTCCCTTTCATAGATTTCCTAAATGTCATCTTTCTCTTCTCTTTGTTTTCACTCTGGTCATCTCACTTGGACTTCCAAGTAAAGTCCCAAGAAAGAGAAGGAACTGTGGACATGGGATTTCTGAGGTTGCAGTCAAATTTGGTAAGTTAGGGATTCTGTGTAGGAAGGAATATAACCTAGGCCTCTTTCCTATCATTTAGGGGATTTTTGTTTTGGTTTGGTCTTTATTTTGTTTTGGAGGGATATTTTTTTGAACTTTAGACCATAACTGTGTCATGGGCAATTAGATTTATTATGCCAATACTTTACAGCCTAAATGCTTATGCACTTTATTTACATAAGCTTGATCAAATCTTCATTCTACGAGGAAGCTGGAGAGAGATTTTGAACTTGTCCATGGGGTTCTATCCATTAAATGTACAGAAGGAAATTTCACCTAATAGCAAGACTGGTTCTCTGATCCAAAGATATAAGCCACTATTCCCATCCATACATTACATGCGACTAGAAGAATTAATTCAATGCTTCCCTTTAAAATTTTTTTAAAGGTGGATAATTTTGTGTTCATTCCCTTGTAAAATAATCAGCATTTGAAAGTAACTTTTTACATCCTGCAGAACTAGAAAGAGTGATGCAAAATATTGGGGAAAAAAATCACAGTCCAGAGCCTGAAAATTCCCCAAAAATGTTTTCAGATCCAGTAATGACTTAACTAACACCTATTGAAATTCTGGGTCAAGCATCCAGCATTTCCAAAGAAGTCTCTGTTCTACCATTTTACCAGTCTTTCCATTTCAAGGGCGTATATCTATGCCCTTCACAGATGCTCATCTTTCTCCTACAAGGTAACATGTGGTCACAGGTGATGGAAAATGACAACACAAGTGCTTTTGAAGGCTTCATCCTGGTGGGATTCTCTGATCGTCCCCACCTAGAGCTGATCCTCTTTGTGGTTGTCCTCAGTTTTTATCTGCTGACTCTTCTTGGCAACATGACCATCATCTTACTTTCAGTTGTGGATTCCCGGCTGCACACACCCATGTATTTCTTTTTGGCCAACCTCTCGTTCCTAGACATGTGCTTCACCACAGGTTCCATCCCTCAGATGCTCTACAACCTTTGGGGTGCAGATAAGACCATCAGCTATCTGGGGTGTGCCATCCAGCTCTACTTCGTCCTGGCTCTGGGAGGGGTGGAATGTGTGCTCCTGGCTGTCATGGCGTATGACCGCTACGCTGCAGTCTGCAAACCTCTGCACTACACTGTTATCATGCACCCGCGTCTCTGTGGGCAGCTGGCTTCAGTGGCATGGTTGAGTGGCTTCGGCAATTCTCTCATCATGGCACCCCAGACGTTGATGCTACCTCGCTGTGGACACCAGCGGGTGGACCACTTTCTCTGTGAGATGCCAGCACTAATTGGCATGGCCTGTGTCGATACCATGACCCTTGAGGCACTGGCATTTGCCTTGGCAGTCTTTATCATCCTGGTACCACTCATCCTCATCCTTGTCTCTTACGGTTATATTGCACGAGCCGTGCTGAGGATCAAGTCAGCTGCCGGGCGAAAGAAAGCCTTCAACACCTGTAGCTCCCACCTCATTGTTGTCTCTCTCTTCTATGGTACGATTATATACATGTACCTCCAGCCAGCAAACACTTATTCCCAGGACCAGGGCAAGTTCCTTACTCTTTTCTACACAATAGTCACTCCCAGTGTTAACCCCCTAATCTATACACTGAGAAACAAAGATGTTAAAGAGGCCATGAAGAAGGTACTAGGGAAGGGAGAGGCAGAAGTAGAGTAAAAAGTCACCAAATCTGGGGACTGTCTTTTGATCCACCTTCTATATATATTGCTAGACCTAGCAAATAAAGGCTTGTTCTGACTTAACAGACTGAGAAGGGAGTTAATGAGATGCGGGAGTTCAATGGTTTAGCCAGGTTGAGAAAGTGCAAATTCCTGAGTAGACCGTCACTTGTATTCCTCTCAAGTCCTTCTAAGTCAAGAATTCATCACAAGGAGGTCTCCAATCCAGGATCAGACAGTGACCTATGCTTGCAAAATACTAGCCATGAATGTAAACACCAGGCATTTTTGTACCTATTCCAGCTTCTGACACAATGATCTGTATTGATTAGGTCCTCAGTATGGGATTCCCTCGTGTCTCAGACGGTAAAGAGTCTGCCTGCAATGCGGGAGACCTGAGTTTGATCTCTGGGTTGGAAAGATCCCCTGGAGAAGAAAATGGCAACCCACTCCAGTATTCTTGCCTATTCCAAGAGGAGCCTGGCAGGCTACAGACCACAGGGTCGTAAAGAGTCAAACAAGACTGAGTGACTTTATTTTCACTTTAAGGCTCAATATATGTGAAAAGAATGAACTTAGAATTAGTGAAGAAAAATTCCTAGAAAGTTCACATGTGCTTTTTTAGTGCCAAATGCCACAATAAGATGAACTCTGGGGAACTGTTGGGATATTTATGGTTGAGTGTTTTCTGTATGTTGAATGTTTTGCAGTTTCATTAATAATTGCAGTACCTCACCAGTTGTAAGGAAAATATATTTGACCCTTGAAGGCAAACATGTTTCTTCAGACTTGAAATGCTGTCAATCAGATAAATCCCATCTCATAACCTAGGAAAACATACATGATGTTAGAATTTCATGACAAGTGAATAGGATTCCAAAATTTGGGAGCATGGCCAGTGTTATCATTAGGAACTGGATAAAGCATGGGTTTAGCAAGTTCTCATTTAAGCCTACCCAAAAATATTAAAGAAAGCCCACTCCAGTGTTCTAGCCTGGAGAATCCCAGGGACGGCGGAGCCTGCTGGGCTGCCATCCATGGGGTCGCACAGAGTCGGACACGACTGAAGCGACTTAGCAGCAGCAGCAGCAGCAGTAGCAGCAGCAGACTTATCTAGATGCCCTAGAAAAAATATCAAATATCTAATAAGATTTTCTCAAAACATATCATTTTTAGACATAAAGTGAATATTTTCCTATTTTGAGCACTAACTCTTGTACTTTGTCCAAATAGATTAGTTTTTATTTTAGATTAATTAGGGCTTATAAGAATGAGTTTTAGGTTTAGTTTTTATTATTCACCAAGAAGGTAGGAAAAATGGAATATAATTGACTCTTCCTAATTTATAAACTAAGTGAAAGGTGATGCTAAGCCATGATAATGTTTACTAAGGACGTTATTAATGCTGCCCATGTACTGAATATAAATATTCCTGGTTTAGCATTTCTCATGTCTTTCACTAAAAACAACTTTTAGTATGTGTCCTACTGCCATAAAAATAAACTGTATGTTGCGTGCATGCTATGTCGCTTCAGTCATGTCCATCTCTGTGCAACCCAATGTACTGCAGTCTGCCAGGCTCCTCTGTCTGTGGGATTCTCCAGGCAAGTATACAGGAGTGGGTTGCCATGCCCTTCTCCAGGAGATCTTCACAACTCAGGGACAGAGATGAAATATCCTTTTAGAATTATTCCCTATTGAACGATGATAAAAATTAACTTTTTACATCATCTCTACACTATGTAGATATGCATTACTCTAGAGTCAATAATATCTTGAAGTGGAGGCGAGAAATCAAGACACAGAGTATAAATCTCTATGAATATATCAATTTTGGAAGCTCCCTATGGAATTCACACCTAATACTTTTCAAATTTTCCCTTTCTTCCCCCACAAGGAACAATTTTCATAGCACTCTTCTCTAGAAAATTTAGAATCACTGTTATAGATTATAAACATTGAATGTCATATCTCAAAGGGAAAAGGTCACTGTGTCCTTAATTACATTACGATACCCAGAATCACCTTTTACTTAATTTATAATGTAGTTTTAAAAGTTTACTTAGTTTACTTATTTACATATGAAGTAGGAATAATCAACTGTATTCTAACTGTTCTGCCATCTCCTAGGAATAACAGAATAGTCTCTGTAATAAAAATAGAAATGTTTCATTTTCATTCTCTATGAATTCTTCCTTTCACTAAACTGTGCTTCATCTTCATAGACTCACCTTTTACATAGAGCAAGTAGAAACGAATATCAAGATTCATTCATTGTGCACATTTGTTTATCTCTTAGCTATGGTGCTTAAACTTCCTCCAAGAGAAATAAATATTATACATATGCTTGTGTATGTGTGTATATATGTGTATGTTTATTCTCACTGTGATTTTAAATTAAAAGCCATGAGAAGACAGCTCAATAAATGCTTACTAATCAGATTATCAGATCACTTTTCATCTTGCTATTTTTGTGTGCCCTGGGATTTTGTGGTTATTTCTTACACAGTTATTCTGGAAATAGATAACTGATACAATTTTATGACTCATTTTATAAGGTCACCATAACTTGGATAACAAATCTGACAAGGACATTACAAGAAAGGAAAATTACAGATAGATAGCTCATGAAAATACATACTAAAATCCTAAACAGTCATTAGCAAATTTAATCTAGTGTTACATAGAAAGTATAACATATTGTCAACATTTGGGGTTTATCACAGGAATAGAGTGGTATAACATTTGAAAACCAGTGCTATGTGTCAATTTTTTTTTTAAATTGGAAAGAAAACCTAAAGATTCAGTCAAAGCATTTGATAAGATTCAATACCCATTTCATAGTATATCTCCAGTTTCCTGAAATACTTTGTGAATTTTAAAAAGTTTAACTTCTCTATGTTTCAGTTTCCATATCAATAAAAGGAAGGTAAAAGTGTTGCTATTTTATAGGGTGTTGTTGGCAGTAGTGAGCATCAGTGAGACATTATTGCTATTTTTATTAAACTCTGCAGATTCTCTCTTAGTTCCAGGCCCTAGTTAAATGGGCATTGTTTTAAATTTTTTACTTTAAGACTACTGAAATTTTTTGGCTTATTTATCTTCGTCTATTCAGCAAACTAAAGACTTGTCTGTATCCATATTTTCTAATTTGTTTGGTCTTCTCTTTTCTTTTAAACTTCTATTTCCTTTAAATTACTCATTATAAGAACTTGTGAAAAAATCAACAAAGCTAAATAACCTAACTCTACATCTAAAGCAACTAGAGAAGGAAGAAATGAAGAACCCCAGGGTTAGTAGAAGGAAAGAAATCTTAAAAATTAGTGCAGAAATAAATGCAAAAGAAACTAAAGAGACCATAGCAAAAATCAACAAAGCTAAATAACCTAACTCTACACCTAAAGCAGCTAGAGAAGGAAGACATGAAGAACCCCAGGGTTAGTAGAAGGAAAGAAATCTTAAAAATTAGGGCAGAAATAAATGCAAAAGAAACTAAAGAGACCATAGCAAAAATCAACAAAGAACTTGTGAAAACAAAAAAGACACATTAAAAGAAGTATTTTCCCCCTGACTAATTACACCCTCATGCCCACTCAGAGGTGAGCTCTGTTACTGGTTTATGAAGTCAAGAGTTATTACACATTATCTTTTGTGGATTAAATCTTAATTTTTTTCCTTTTCTTGTTTTACTTGATAAGCTTTTCTTCTTCTGCAGATATCAGCCTCTATTCCCTATGGATTGTCCATGTTAAGCATCTAATAAGTGTCCTTCATATTTTCTTCATTCTCATATAATCCTATATAGGCATACAATACCTAAAATCATATTTAGAGCATTTCAGTCCTTTTTATATACTCAAGATTATGCTGAGGACTTCCTGGTGACTCAGTCGAAAGAATTCGCCTGCCAATGCAGGAGACATGGGTTGGATCGCTGATCTGGGAGGATCAGAGGATCAGAGGATCAGAGCCACTAAGCCCATTCGCCGCAACTATTGCGCCTCAACCCTAGAGCCTCGGAGACCCAACTCCTGAGCCCACCCTACCACTACTAGTGAGGTCTGTGCTCTGGAAGCCGTGCTCTACAAGAGCAGTCAGCGTAGTGAGAAGCCGCAATCAAGAGTGGCGCAGATCTCCCCAACTAGAGAAAAGCTTGCGGCAGCAACGAAGACCCAGCAAAGCCAAAATAATTTTTATTTTTTAAAGATTATGTCATCCACTCTTTCTTGCATCTTTGTTTTCTCACTCAGTAATATTGCTGGCAAATCACTGGTGTAGATTGTTATTCAGTCAATTCTTCTTCGAGGGAGTAAGTTTTTCTCCATCTTTGGCTGTTTCAAACATTGCTGCAATAAAACTCTTTGTTCTTGTGTCTTTATATACTGATAATTTAATCCATAGGATAAATTTCCATGAATGATATTGCTAGGCTGATGGATATTAACTGTCCTATTTATTTCTAAAAGTCTAGTGACACTTTGACTTTCTATCCAGAATTTCTGAGAGTAGCCGTTTTCCCTCAGCAAAGTTAGGCCTGGGAGTTACTGCTGTTTACATTTTTTTTTTCAATCTAGTAAGTGATTATCATAATTAATATATTTCTCTGATTATTTGGAAATGTAAAATCTCATACAGATTTGCTCTTCTGAGTTGTATGTTCATATTATTTGACATTTTTCTACTGTGCTATTTGTATTTTTTCTTAGACTTTGCAAAACCTTTTTATTTTGTAGGTACTAGCTTTTTTCATAATTATAGATATGTTTTTCTTGTGTCTACTCATATGAAAAATTGTTTTGGAACCTCAGAGTAG